AGTCATAATTCTCTGTCTCACACATTCCTTCTAGGAAACTCAGCCCAACACGACCCCACTGCACAGGAGAGCGCCGGGCACACAGCAGCCACCCAGATATTTACTGAATGAGAGACTCTAAGGACCTTCTCAGAGCGGAAAGCGTTCTGCATACAGCAGGTGCCTAATAGCTGCTTTCCGGAAGCTCGGCATCCAAGCATTTTCACCGTAGGCCCACCTCTGGAGAGACTGCTCACACACCCATGTATTCCTTATTTACGTATAGACAGGCTCTTGCTATGTAGCCCAGGTTGGCCTCAAATTTATGACTGTTCTGCCTCAGCCTCTTGAGGTCCTGGGGTCACAGGGCTGTACCACCATGCATTTTCTGTTCTCTCTTCACCGATGCTGCCAGAGTTTTGCGTGGCAGAGATCGTCACCCCTTCCCATGAGCTGGCAATGGCAAGTTCAGAGATGTAGAGAATTGCTCCAAGGCAGCCCAGCAACTAGAGCAGAGATTAGCAACACAGAAGGCTGTTTTCCATGGCCAACGCCTTTATCATTTAGCCCTGGGTTTTAGCTTAGGGGCTCGCTCTTGCTCCTAAGCCTCTTAGGGTTAAGACTCTTACAAATTCTAAAGATTATTAGAGAAATATTTCTGGCGAGGGAGGGGTGCCCTGGAACACACACAAAATGCAATTCCTCAAGGTTACCAATCCCCGAGCCAGCCCGTGGACAGTTAAAGGTGGATTTTCCACATCCCAGGCATGGGAGGACCCTGGCCCTTGCAGGCGCTGCTGGGCATCCTGTGTGTGCAGCTCGCCCCCCAGTGGCCGATCCTGGGATTGCCCAGAAGCCGGTCCTGTAGGTGTAGGATGACTATAGGTGGGTGGGGGTGGGGTGGGAGGGGGGGTGGGGGGTGGGAGAGGTGGGGGTGCCTTCAGAGGAGGGAAAAGCTACCTATGTGGTTAGGGACAAGCTGTGGCAGGTGACATCTCAGAAAGACTCCTGGGTAGCTGTCTGGAGGACAGAAGGCGCAGGCCACGTGTGGGAGCCAGGAGCAGCCAGGCAGACGCTCCAAATACTCCAGGGACAGATCAAAGTATGACAGAGGAGTGAGCTTGAACACAGGAGCCACCAAGGCCACACTCCAGGCAGGTTCCACTCACCTCCTTGTCTGCTCCATCTCTTCCAGGAACTCTAGCTTTTGTCCTTGCTTTTTAAAATTTTATTCATTGCTTTTTTTTTTTTTTTGGCAGGGGCCTCACTCCGCAGCCCCGATTGGGCTCTAACGATCCCCCTGCTTCAGCCTCCTGAATGCTGGGGTGACAGGCACGCCCCAGCCAGCCTGGCTTCATTTTGGTTTCTCTGCTTTGACAAGAGTCTCATGCAGCCCAGGTTGGCCTCTAACTCGCTCTAGAGCTCAGTTATTCCTTGAGCGCCTGAACCCCATCTCTCGGCCTCTCAGGTGTAGTTTTAAAGGGGGACGTAAGTGGTGGTTGGTGGTGTGCTGAGGTCCATGACTCATCCATGCCCCTCGCAATTGCCGTCTGAGAGGAGGAAGGACACCGGGTGGGGTGGGCACCTCCACCAGCACCCCGTGCCAGGACCCCGGTGCCAAGCACACAGCAGGTTCTGGACGGATAATTCCAGAACCAGTTGGCCTCTGAGGAGGTCGACATGTTCTTGGGGGTCACATACTAAGAGGTTCCTTCACGGGGTCAGGGCTGAGGGGGAGGGGACTGCGGCAGCAGCCAGGGTTAGCATCTCAAGTATTCCAGGACATTCTAGCATCAGCCGGGGTGCAAAAGCACTCCAGGTGTCCCGAGATGGAAACATTGAGTGAGCGGTTGTCATGGGGACCGGGGAGCGTTCTAGTTCCATTTCCAGCGCTGTGGACAACATGGAGGACGAAGGGCTATATGACTTACAGTTTCGAGTCACCGTCCATCACTTCGGGGACGTCAAGGCAGCGAGCTATTCACATCATATCCACAGTCAGGAGCAGAGAGAAGAAACACACGCCCACGCTGCCTGCTGGCTCATGCTTAGCTAGCTTTCTTCTCTCTTAACACAGGTCAGGGCCCAGCCTAGGGAGTGATGCCGCCCACAAAAGGGCGGGTCTTCCCATGTCAATCAACCATCAAGGCAACGACCCACACATGTGCCCACAGGCCAGCTGGATCCATGCAATCCATCTCTGAAACTTTCTTTTTTTTTTTTTTTTTTTTTTCTTTTTGGTTTTTCGAGACAGGGTTTCTCTGTGTAGCTTTGCGCCTTTCCTGGATCTCGCTCTGTAGCCCAGGCTGGCCTCAAACTCACAGAGATCCACCTGCCTCTGCCTCCCTCCTGAGTGCTGGGATTAAAGGCGTGCGCCACCACCGCCGGGCTCTGAAACTTTCTTCTAGCGTGACTCTACGTTGTGAGGTTGACAGTCAAAATTAGCCAGCACAAGGGGGGGCAGGGGAGGGGGCTTCCCAGAGAAATTAGTAAGGGCTCGGATAGAGTGGTTGATGAAAGTGAGGCCTGGATGCGGCAGGAGAATGACCAGGGGTGACGCACACACTCCATTGGCAGTGTAGGATGTAGCTCCAAGAAGTAGCAGCCACAGGACCCTGAAGGGCCTGCAGGTGTGGGAGCTGTGTGTCAGCCCTTGTGGGTGCCACAGAATACCGCTGGCCAGACGACAGCTCCAGACCGTCACAGACACATGGCTTCCTCTTCAAGCAAATTTCATTCTTGAAGCCAGGTGTGGCGCACACCTTTAATCCCAGCATTCGGGGATTAAATTACATTAAATTAAATTAAATTCGGGGATTACGGAGGGGCAGGTGCATCTCTGTAAATTTGAGGCCAGCCAGCCCAGTCTACATAGCAAGTTCCAAGAGAGCCAAAGCTACATAGAGAGACCCTGTCTCGAAAATCCAACAGTTTTTATTTTTCTTGTTTTTAAAGCAAACGTCTTTAGAAATACACACACACACACACACACACACACACACACACACACACACGAGAGAGAGAGAGAGAGAGAGAGAGAGAGAGAGAGAGAGAGAGAGAGAGCGAGCAAACCAAACCAAAAAGGAGCCAGCAGGGGGCGCTGTGAGTGACCACCTCTCCCAGATCTGGACCTCCAGGACCACCTGTGGCCTTGGGGCTTCTCCACAGCATAGGCCTCTTCCTTAACACCCCACCCACCCACCCCGTGGGGGAACCTTCCCACGCTAGTTCCCAGGGTGCTGCAGATTGGGCAACCAGCTTTTGCAAGCGGGTTATTTCCATTCCCCGGCTTTCTATAAATGTGGAGAGAGATCAGTGGGCGCGTCAGCCTGCCTGCTGGGTAGAAATACCCTGGATGACTGACGGCTGGCAACTGCTGGCATCGGATCCCTGCACACAGCTCGGCAGGGGAGGAGTCCCCGAAGCCAACTGGGCAGGCTCCCCGCTGCGTGGTTCCTTCTGAGAATGTTTTGGAACAAGGGAAGCTAGCCAGCTGCCAAATGCTGAGAGGAAGGTCACAATAAAGAGGGTGGGGTGGGGGGGTGGCCCCGGGGATGTGGGGTCTGAAGCCCAAGTTTTGCTTTTTTTTTTTTTTTTTTTTTTTCTCATTGTTTCTATATATTTCTTTGCATTTCTTTTGGTTTTTTTTCTATTATTTTGAGACAGAATCCAGCTATGTAGTCCTAGCTGGCCTGGAGCTTGCTGTTGGCCTCGAACTCACAGAGATCCAGGTGCCTTTGTCTCCTGAGTGCTGGGATAAAAGGCGTGTGCCACCGCATCGGCCTCCTCCTCTTTTTTTTTTTTTCTTCTTTTTTTGTAAGACAGTCTTATGTGTAGCCCAGGCTGGTTTTGAACGTATGTAGCTGAAGATGACCTTGAACATCTGTCTGATCCTCCTGCCTCTACTTCCCAGTCCTGGGAGGATTCCTTGATCCCGGAAGTTCATGACCAACCTGAGAAGCACAGAGAGGCTGCCTATCCCCCGCCACAGAAATTATAAATCTGGTCGCCGGGCGGTGGTGGCGCATGCCTTTAATCCCAGCACTTGGGAGGCAGAGCCAGGCGGATCTCTGTGAGTTCGAGGCCAGCCTGGGCTACCAAGTGAGTCCCAGGAAAGGCGCAAAGCTACACAGAGAAACCCTGTCTCAAAAAACCAAAAAAAAAAGAAAAAGAAAAGAAAAAAAAAAAAAAAGAAATTATAAATCTGGATACAGTGGGGCATTGCCTGTCACCCCAGCATTTGGGAGGCAGAAGCAGGGGGATGGTGAGTTCCAGCTCAGGTTGGCCTTGTAAAGCTAGACCCTGTCTTTTTTTTTTTTTTCTAGATTTATTTATTTATTATGTATACAGTGTTTGGTCTGCATGTATGCCAGATCTCATTACAGATGGTTGTGAGCCACCATGTGGTTGCTGGGAATTGAACTCAGGTCCTCTGGAAGAACAGCCAGTGCTCTTAACTGCTGAGCTATCTCTCCAAACCATAGACCCTGTCTTAAAAGAGCAAAAATAAGCCGGGCAGTGGTGGCGCACGCCTTTGATCCCAGCACTCGGGAGGCAGAGCCAGGCGGATCTCTGTGAGTTCGAGGCCAGCCTGGACTACAAAGTGAGATCCAGGACAGGCACCAAAACTTCCCAGAGAAACCCTGTCTTGAAAAACCAAACAAACAAAAACAAAAAACCCAAAAACCAAAAAACAAACTTAGACCCTCCCTCCCAACCCCTCCCCCTGCCCCTCCCAGGTCACGGGGGTGACAAGGATGCTCCAGCCCTGGGCGCTGACTGTAGGTAGACCCAGAGGGCTCCCCACAGGACAGAGAAAGGATACAGGCAGCCCGATGCCGGTGCATCAGAGCCACGTACCACACCAGGCTTGAAGTGGAAAAATAGCTAAGGGCCGGTGTGGGCCTGACACCAGGAGACAAGCTTGGCAGCCATGGGGAACACATCCTGAATGAGTGATGTGGCCTGGACCCTGGAGCCCCAGCCCAGCCCTGCCCAGCAGAGAGTCACGGAAGGCAGCGTGGAATTTGTGAAAAGGCTTTATTGCTTCAATCATGAGTTTCTTTCAAAAGATGATAAAATTTCTCTTCCAGTAGAAAAAGGGGCATTTGCGGGGCGCTGGGCCTCCTTGTCCCCCACCTTCTGGGGAGGTCCACCAGGCCACCAGGGGACCAGGTGCCAGGGGTAGACGGCCCACACCTCTCTACCTTTGACACTATACCTGAAAACTAAGGACCCTGAGGGGCCTGCCACCGTGGCCACTTACAGTGTTGAGGTGACTAGAGGAAGAGGGCCAGACACAGCTCCCGAGTGTGCGTGCACACCCATCAGGACCCGGAACTGCTTGCCTGGCCTTGGCACAAGAGGCCGATGCACGCCCAGCCCCTAGGAGTGACGGCTCTGTATTCCGTGGGGACCGAGGCTTTCAGCCTGATGATGGAAGACAAGGGGAGCATGAAGTCTGAGGGCCCTGGGCAGAGCCAGCGCCCCACAGGAGGGGCCGGTGGCGGCTGCAGCAGTCTCCACGGCCCGGCTCACAGGCCACTTGGAGGAAAGTGCCTGCGGTCTGTCCGTCCGGCGGGCGCCCTCCCAGCAGCGGGCCTGTCCTTGGTCCCTGAGTATTGCTGCACACGCCTGGGCACACGCGGACAGGTGTGACCTCTGGGGGCTCAGGCCGTGGCACTGGCAGGCTGTCTGCCGCCGAGAGAGTCCTCAAGAAGCGGGGTGTAGGGACTGGGTTGCTGGTCTGACCAAGCTATCAGGTTTGGGGGGCTCATGGCGTCTTTGGGACCCTGTGGAGAAAGAAGAAGCCGAGTCACCAGACGGTCAGCCAGCCCCGCCCTGCCTATCCCCGGTTCCCACCCCTCATTCCACCAGCACGGAACCCACTTCCTCCCCATCACAGCGCTGTCTGCCATGAACTGAGAGATGGGGAAACTGAGGCCAGAGAGGCTGGCAGGATACAGTGAGGAGGGCAGCGCCGAGTCCAGAGTGGGTGTATATAACACCGTCGCACAGGGAAACTAAGAATGGCCTAAATGTCTGTCCACAGGAATCCATGTTTAAAACAGGGTCACATGACAGGCCAGGATCAGCTGTGAAAAAATGGCTCTTGTTCATGGACGTGAGAGACACCTTCCCATCGGATCCCTGTGATGGGGGCCTCTGGGCCTTACAGTAGGCTATGGAGAAAGGGCAATGGTACAGAGGAGGAAAAGATGCTGTAGATGTTGAAAAGACTTCCCAGCTCAGGCAAATGGTAAGAATACTGGGCATCTACCCCTGCTCTGCAGCCCCAGCCCTCCTCCCCTAGCATACATTTTTTTTTTTTTTTTCTGAGACAGAGTTTCTCTGTGTAGTTTTGGTGCCTGTTCATGATCTCGCTCTGTAGCCCAGGCTGGTCTCGAACTCACAGAGATCCGCCTGGCTCTGCCTCCCGAGTGCTGGGATTAAAGGCGTGCGCCACCACCACCCGGCCTCCCGCCTCCCCTAGAACAGAGAGACACTGTCACCCCCATATCCTGGCCCTGAAGCAGGGAAGGAGACTGCAGGGCAAACAGAAAGAGGGCTGCGGGTGGGGGAGCATCCTCTCCCTGGACCAAAGCTGGTCTCCCGCCACCATAAGCCACAGCAGCCCGGCATGTGAGAAAGTCTTGGTGGGAAGTAAAAAACGGGGGTGCTGGGGGTGGAGCTTAGAGGCTGAACACTCAGTAGAAGGCCCGGGCTTCAGTCTCCAGCACCACAGACAGGCAGAGACAGACAGACAGACAGACAGACAAAGACAGACAGACAGACAGACAGACAGACAGACAGAATCCAAAGTAAAAGGAGGACACAAGGCACACATAGCAGTGGTGTGGGCTTGGAATCTCAGTACTCGGGAGACTGAGGCAGGAGGATTGCCACAAGTTCAAAGCCAGTCCGAGGGACCCAGCATGCCCTCGCTGCCGGGGAATAGAACAAAGAGTTGCCTGTAGCCTGGTCCTCCCCAAGAAAAGCACATGTAAGAAATCTACAAGGCACTGGGCAGCCAGGGGAACCAGGGCAGCCAGGGGAACCAGATGGCCCCTCGCTTGCCCTTCCCCCATCACTGTGTTGGACAGACAGTAATTGAGAATGGGAGACAGACCAGTGAGAAAGAGAGGTTCGGAGCACTTCCCTAAAGGCCACACTCCTTGTCTGTTCCCAGCACCTGGCCACACAGCCAACCCCCTTGCTTCACAACAACGCCCATCCGCCCGGGGGTGGGGGGGTGGGGAGGAGGCGTCTTTTTCTGCTTCATATAATAATACCCTTTGGGCTAGCAGTGGCCCTGTTTCCCTTCTCCTTCAGCAACGGCAGGCACCCCTAGGGGCCACCCCCACACCCCAGGTGCAAGGCGAAGTGTGGGGCCTCACCAAGTCTTACTTAGCCAGCCAGTGAGGCTGGGGAACCTCCTCTGCAAGGGCCCACGTGTCTACCCCGCATGCCGAAGCTGGTCTTTGGAAGACACTCCCCACCTCAGCACATGGCCGGGGTGTGTGTGCCGGGGGTGGGGGTGGGGGTTCCGGGGGGGGGGTGTCCCCTGGAGTGGGGATTCAAGCCATTCTCCATAGCCCAGGGGAATCTGCAAACAAGGCCTAGACCAGGTTGGGAAAATAAAGACGAAACCCCAGTTTCATTCATTTCTTTGGGGTCTGAACAGGGTTAAGGCTGAGCGGCTATGGGCTCCATCTGGGGCTAAAGTGACTATCCAACCTCTGCTTGGAGTCTGCATTTGTGCCGTGGGAGTCCCACCCAGGACGCCTTACCTGCCCTCTGGCAATACCAAACATCACCTGCAGAGGGCGCCATGGATGGGAGGCAGCAGGACCCAGGGCCTCACCCTCACCCCTCCTGGAGGCCCCACCCGACCAACTCCAGGGACACAGGAGACCCACGGAGCTGCAGAGGCCCAGTCAGCTGGGCCTGCCCTCCTTCCTCCTCTGGGGAGGTGGCACCTACCAGGACAATCACATACCCACCAGAGTTCTCTGTTTTATTTTCTTCTCTGACACAGCTGACTATTGTTGGAAGTAGCCAGCCGGGCCCCCCAGAAGCCCAGAGCCGTGGCCTCCACCCTTCTAGCTCCCTCCAAGGAAGTGTTCACACCCAAGTTGGCTTAAAGGCTAAAATAGCAGCGTCTATTGGGACACAACTCACTTCTGCTAACCTCAAATTGCAGGGCCCATGCTCTTCCTGTCTCTTCCCAGGCAGGGGCACACCCTGGAGGGCTCGGCCTCTCCTGAGCCCTGAATGCTACGGGACCTGGAGATCTTGGGGAAGTGCTGTCCTGGCTCCCAGCAAGCCAGCCAGGATGTCAACCATCTGGTGGTGAATCACTGGGACCACCCATCCCAGCACTGAACAGGGCAGACACTTCCTGGTCTAGAGTCAGACTGTATCGAGCAGTCTGTCATGTGCTCAGGCCTGGGCCTGCATATACAGCTGGCGCTCAACCAACGCTCAAATTACTTATAGTCACTTATTCCAGATTGGAGCCGGTGCGCCTTCTACACCAAAATACCCTTCCTCTGAGGTCCAGCAAAAGACAAGTTTCAAACCCGTCGGGCTGCAGGAGTCTCTGGGTTTCCAGGATGCCCAGGGACCTGCATTTAGCAAACTGCATGGGATGGACGGAGAAGCGCTGAGAAGCAACTGGTCTAACTTTCAGCTTCTCACGGGACCTTGTGAATGAGAGCCGGCCGACTGTAAGGTCCAAGAAACCCAGGCAAGATGGGACCCACCATGATGATGGCAGGCGGGCGCTCTCCGCATGGATGACGCCCAGGCAGATGCTATGTACCAAGAGTGTGGAACAGGTCTACTGGCTACAGGCGAGGTGGGGGTGGGGGGGGGAGGGGTTACCTGATACGCACCTACAGCTTGGCTTCTTGCAGCACCGTGCCCTTGGCAGCTGGTGACATCAGGGACTCAGAGTAGGCCTGAATGGCCTCCTTATCCTGCGAACCCTTTTTACTAGCATTCCAAAATAAAAAGCATTTCTCCTGGAAGACAACCAAGCTAGTTTATAGTCCGCGCTGTGTCGCTGGGGAGCCCCTGGGTTCCCCCAGAAGCGATGGGAAAGAAGAGAACAGGAATCGCAGAGTCCTCCACCCTGCGCCACGGGCGAACTGCCCGCCCCCCCGGAAGATGGGCAAGCAGAGCCTCAGAGAGCCACCCTAGCGGAAGTATGGGGCGTGTTTGGGTTTCTCTGGTCTGGTTTGGCGGAGCTGGGCTGGACTTGAACCCAGGGCCTGGGGCCTGCTAAGCGCAAGGTCTCACTTACACCACGTCCTCAAGTCCATGGTGCTTGCAAACAGGGGGAAATGTTAACATAATTTTGTTCTCCTTAAGAACGAGGTATGGGTGAGTATGTTGTTTACCAGCCAGCATACAGTTACAAAAAACGACTAGGACAAACAGACACACACACACACACACACACACACACACACACACACACACAGGTGAGGCCTAGCCTTATTAGAGCAAGGCTGGTAGGGTGTGGATTGCTGTTTTGGCCTCTGATGAAACCCCAGCCCCCCGAGGGGCAGTGAGAAGAAGCCTTCTATTTCGGGATCCCCCTCTCTTCTCCAGTGGTTAACTGGAAGAGGCTGGCCCGGCTCACACTGGGTGGCAGCAGAGAGGAGCAACACCAGCCTGGACGCCCATCAGACACTCAAAGCTACTGCCAACGTGGAGAGGCAGAGGCTCCCAGATGCCCCTTTGAGGTGACATGAGACCCGGGGGTGTGGGGGGGAGGGGCAGTGCTTGGACAGGGAAGTGGGGTACTGGTGAGTTGAGAGGGATGTGTTCTTCCACAGCAAGCAAGCAAGCAAGCAAGGATGCCTTCAGAGAGAAAACCAGCCGACCGACTGGGACAGGAGGGCAGGAGTGAGGGGCCCCCCACCAAGCACACCAAGCAGAAAGTTGAGCCTGTAGCCCCAGGACATCTCAGGTGGGGCCCTGCGGGTGGCCATGGACTCCCTGCCTGCAGACAGCCACCCTCCCCCTTCACAGCTGCTCATCACCCTGTCCACAACTACCTCATAACTACAGCTACCAGCACCCACCACCCAAGGGGATCTGACCCTGAATTTCAAGTGGTATGTTCTGTTCGTTTTTTGTAACCCCAAGATCTATGGGCAAGGCCTCGGGGGAAAAAAATTCTCACCACGAGTGGATGGATGGCCCTAAATAAGGCCAGAAGGGAACTAAAGTTCTAGTCACCTCCCTTAGCTTCCTGCTTTTAGCGGCTGCATGCCCCAGGGTTAGAGTTTTCATTCATTTTTGCTTCCTCCCTTACATAAGTCACCCCCACCCAGGTCTGAACCACACTATTCCCTTTTATTTTATTTTCTGAGACAAAGGTTTCATGTAGCCCAGGCTGGCCTCAATCTTTACATGTAGCCAAGGGTGACTTTGAATTTCCGGTCCTCCTGCTTCAACCTCCCTCCAGGATGCTGGGATTACAGGCGTGAGCCACCACACCAGACTTCAAAGATTAAACCTGGAAAAGAACCTGAGGGCACCTTTCTATCTTTTAGGTTGATTGCATGCCTTCTCTGCTTTTTAAATATTTATTTCATATCTGTGTGAATATTTTGCCTGCATGTCTATGCCCCAATTGTGTGCATGCCTGTTAGATCCCCTGGAACTAGGGTTCCAGACAGACGGTGGTGAGCCACCATGTGAGTGCTGGGAATGAAATCTGGGTCCTCTCCAAGCAATAAGTGCTCGCAACCACTGTCTCTCCAGATCTCCTCTCTCTCTCTCTCTCTCTCTCTCTCTCTCTCTCTCTCTCTCTCTCTCTCTCTCGGTCTGTCTCTCTCTCTCTGTCACGGGTTTTGCTGTCAGTGTTGGGGACTGAATGCAGGACTATTTGCTAAATGCATTTGCTAAACATTTTAAACGCATTTGCTATTTGCTAAATGCATGTTTGAATGCATTTGCTGAATCCATTTGCTAAACAAGCGCTCTATTGCTGAGCTAACCTTCAACCCCATATTTTGATATATTTGGTGGCTCCTCCCATTTCCACCTCACACCCAGCTCTGGCCCATCCCATTTTCTGTTATCTTTTACCTTGGGTAATTTTTTTTTTCCCTGTTAGGTTTAACCTGGCTTTTTCATTTGCTTCTCTGACCAGGCCAGACCCTAGCCTCCCATCTTCACCTTCCACAGGCGCTTCACAGAGTCTGCACCAAGTCGTACCCAGTTAAATGACTACTGAGTACTTCTCTCAGCCCAGCACCCACTGCGGAGCGTCCCGGGCCTTCCAGGGCAGGTAGAAGAGTCAGTGCAGGATGCGAGAGGTGCAGAAGGAGACCTGGCTGCGGGAGACAGAAGTCCGCGCTCCAGGAGCAGAGTCCTGCCGCCCCGCCTACTCACCTGGCTGCGCAACTGGTAGATGATGGGCACCAGCAGCAGGAGGCCGCCCAGCCCCAGCAGCACATACTGCGCGTAGTGGAGCACCTGGGGCACCAGCACCAGCTGCGTGTAGAACGTGTTCAGGGGCTCGCCGCCCATGGCCCCGCTCTGCAGAAGGACAGACGGGCAGGTGAGGAGGGACGGACTGCACACTGCATCCCCCCCGGAACTTTTCCTTGTGTCTCACCCCTCCCCAACCCAGACCAGAGAGCCCCAGGGAGCGTTTGCGAAAAAGTCTAAGGAGAACTACATTTCCCAGATGCCCTTGCTGTTGGCAGGACAACGTGATGAGGCATTGGCCAATGGGAGGTGGAGCTGACCTCAAAGGCCCCCCCCCCACGTTAGACAGTCGTCTCTTTCACTGGTTAGAACCTAGTCTTAGGACCTGAAGGGTCCCGAGAAAGATCAGATGGCCTGGTGCTGATCTCCACCTCCGTGCCCCGCCTCAGACAAAGAGGAAGTGAACCTGGCTCTCGGAGTCGTTGTTAGCAAACCCTGTAGATGGCTGCTCAGTGGTCAAAAGCTCTGGCTGCTCTTCCAGAGAACCCGGGTTCTCTTCCCAGCACCCATTTGGTGGCCCACAACCATCTGTAATTGCAGCTCCAGGGGATCTGATGCCCTCTTACATACACGCAGGCAAAACATCCATGCGAATAACTAAACTGAGGTACCGGATGTTAGGCTAACATTAGCATCAAGGTGAAGTAAGATAAATCAGCTAGGCCGGCACCTCTCTCCATCTGCCTCAGAAACACGCACACTCCCCACCCGGACCGGACCGCCTCCTGCCGCCCTCAGAGCCTCGCTTCACCTGCTCAAACCACAGCAGCGGCAGGACCACCGGCTCGATCTTCCCCGTTTGCCTAGAAACAAGGGGACGCAAAGTGAGTGACCAAAGGTGGCCTGGAGAATGGAAGCTATGTTAGGGGCTGGGGGTGTTGTGTGGCTCAGAAGAGCTTTTGGTTATCTTGTGCAAGGCCTTGGTTCAATCCACAACATCACAAGAAAATGGGACAGGAAGACATATGGGGATCTTGGAAGGCAAGAGCTCCGTACATTTGACTATCTGTAGCCAAGTTCGAGGACAGCCTGTGCTACATAAAACCCCAAATCAATAATAATAATAATAATAATAATAATAATAATAATAATAATAATAATAATAAATTAAGGGGAGTAGCATGCCTCACCAGGTAATGGTGTTTGCTGCCAAGCCTGATGACCTGAGTTCCGTCCTCAGGACCCACAAGGTGGAAGGAGAGAAAGAACAGGTTTCCAAAAGTTGTCCTCACCTCCACATGTGCATTGTGGCATGCACCTGTCTGCCCACCCCACCCCACACTCCACTCCAATAAATACATTAAAAAATAAATAATAAACAATAGCAATGAGTCTCATCCCACGGAAGCCTGGGTGGCTGCATTTATGGCTGTCTACAGCCGAACCTGATCTCACGACACAGGTCTAGATCCAGCAGGTACTTTACCATACCCCTGAGGCTAGAGGAGAAGCTGGGGCAGTGCTGGAGGATGGTGCAGTGGGCAGAGCATTTGCTGCTCAGGCATATGCACCTGAGGTCAGATCCCAGAGCCCAGATCCAAAGCTGTGTGTGTGGCTTTGAACCTGGGACCCCAGGGCTGGGGCTTCAACGAGAAGCCCTGTCTCAAGGGAAGAAAGTGGGGTGTGACAGAGCAGGACGTGCAGCATCCTCTTCTGGCCGCTGCACACTTGCACATAAGTGTGCATGGAACACACACACACACACACACACACACACACACACACACACACACGCACACGGAGAAGGAGCTGGGAGGCCTGAGCAGACTACATGCTGAAGCTGAAGCCCATGGGGCGGGGGTTGTAACACTAACACCTCTCTAGACTTTGGTTCCTTACTGTGCCAGCTACTGCCAGCAGATGACGGTGTGGAGGGTGCTGGGGACAGGGGACAAAGATCTCCATTTCCGCCACGGCTCCATAAATCTACAAAGATTCTAAGGAGTATTTTAGGCAGTGCAGCCAATCAATGTTTGGAAGCCAGCCTCAGAAGATCAAGCCGGCCCACCTTGGCCTCCAGTTTCAAGAGCCTGGGCGAGCGAGATAGGGTGGTGTAGGTCTAAGTTCGAGGCCATGACTGGCTATAGAATGAGTTCGAGGGCAGCCCGGGCAATTTAGTGAGACCCTGTGCCAAAAAAAAAAGTGGAAAGAGAGCTGGAGGTCGTGTGTGTGTGTGTGTGTGTGTGTGTGTGTGTGTGTGTGTGTGTGTACACACGTATAGGAGCCTAGCTGAATCAGGTGCTTCCTGGCCTCAGTTTCCCCTACAGGAGGTCAGGGCCAAGCTCTTGAGTATGAGACCTATACGCCCTGCTGGCGTCCACTCAAGCCCCAAAGCCCAGAGCCCATCTCTTCCTCAATCACATCCTTCAAAGTGGTTCCCAGGCATTCGATCCATGACCCTGGGGAGTGATCAGCCCCAAGGCTGGACCCCCATTACCAAGTTTCTGCCTGGCAAACATGGAATGGGGCAGGGGCCCTCGAAGTCTCACTCTGTATACATAACTAAAGTAAATCCGGGGAATGATGGTTAAGAGCACTGGCTGCTCTTCCAGAGGATCCAGGTTCAATTCTCAGCACCCACACAGCGGCTTACAACTGTCTGCAACTCTAGTCCCCTGGAATCCCATGCCCTCTTTTGGCCTCTGTGGGCACTGCACTTACATGATTCACCAACATGCTAGCAGGCAATCTATTCTATTGCAATCTATTCTATTCCAGAAAGGGGGGGGGGGGGAGAGACAGTTTGGATTGACCAATCTGACTGATGGGAGAAGAGTTTTTTGTTTTATTTTGTTTTTCCGAGACAGGGTTTCTCTGTGTAGCTTTGGAGCCTGTCCTGGAATTCACTCTAGCCCAGGCTGGGCTCAAACTCACAGAGATCTGCCTGGCTCTGCCTCCCAAGTGCTGGGATTAAAGGCATGTGCCACCACCGCCCAGCATTATATTTTTTTTTCTTTTTGTGTGTATGTGCATTGGTGTTTTGCCTGCACATATGTCTGTATGAGGGTGTCAGATCCTCTGGAACTGGAGCTACAGACAGTTGTGAGCTGCCAAGTGGGTGCTGGGAATTGAACCCGGGACCTCTGGAAGAGCAGTCAGTGCTCTTAGCCACTGAACCTGACGGGAGAAGAGATCTTAGGAAAGGGGGAATGAAGGAGTGTCAGGGTGCAGGCTGGGTCTCTATCCAGAGCCAAGATGCCTTGTCCCACGCCTTGCATCCACCAATGCACGAAGCCCCCTGGTCCCGATGCCTTCAGAACCTGTGACCCCATCCTACTCACCCAATGCCCTTGACAGACTTGATGTAGAGGCTCAGCTGTAACTTCACAGAACAGTTCATGGGGATCCCGGTGACCTGGAGCAGAAAACAGTGAGGAGAGCTATAAGACCATGGGGCTGGAGAGATGGCTCAGAGGTTAGAGCACTGGCTGCTCTTCCAGAGGTCCTGAGTTCAATTCCCAGCAACCACATGGTGGCTCACAACCATCCGTAATGAGATCTGGTGCCCTCTTCTGGCGTTTGTATACATAATAAATAAATTTTTAAAAAGAAGAAGAGGAGGAAGAGGAAAAAGAAAGAAAAGCAAAATGAAGAAGAAGAAGAAGAAGAAGACCATGAAGGCCAGCTCCCAGCCTGCTCCAGCCCTGGGGCCCTGAGGGGCTTCTCACCCACCTGAGCCAGGCAACAGGTTGGGGCAAGCACCCTTCTAGAAACTTCTCCCCCTCCATACATTAAGCTCTCCCCCAGGAAATACATGCTTGCCAAAGGGATCAGACACTGGCCATCTCAAGGTCCCCTCTACAGAGCCACTTGTCACCAGAGGGGCGATCTCCATCTGGGTTTTTGTTTTTGTGTTTGGTTTGGTTTTTCCAGACAGGGTTTCTCTGGAGCTCTGGCTGTCCTGGAACTCGCTCTGTAGACCAGGCTGGTCTCAACTCACAGAGATCTACCTGGCTCTGCCTCCCGAGTGCTGGGATTAAAGGTTTGTGCCACCACTGCCTGGCTTGTTTTGTTTTGAGACAGAATTTCCTGTGGCCCAGGCTGGACTCCAACGTGCTACATAACCAAGGCCGATCTTGAACTCCCAATCTCCCTGCCTTCCCCTTCTAAGGGCTGGCTCATGCCTAACTGCACGGTGATGGGAGGGAACCCAGGGCTCAGTGCCTCCTAGGCAAGCACTCGACCTACTAAGCTATATTCCCAGCCCTCACACAGCTCCCTCAGACAGTGTCTCCCGAGTATGGGGCACGTGCAGTAAGGATGGCTTTTTCGATCTGTTTACGACATTTCCCAGTGACTCAGGAAGCTTAGCGAAGCGCCTGATCCAGGGTGAGTAGGTTTAATTACACAGGAGCTTGTAGCCATTTTTTTTTTTCTTTAGTCCTAACAATGCAGGGTCCTGTCATTTCCTAGCAGAGGCGACAGCAGAAAGCCTCCTGTGTGTGGCTCTATTTTTAAAATGAGATGCTTAAAACAAAACAAAACAAAAAACCCCAATAATAATCACTAGGGGAACTGACACTCACAGCATTTAAGTCAGGGAGAAAGTTCTAGAAAGAAATGAGAGAAGGTTGGTGAAAAGAGACCTCCAGGATTGGGACTGGGGGGCTCTGTGCTGTTTGTTTGCTGAGAACGCAGTGAGCCCTGCCCAGGTCATGTGACTCTTGCAAGGGATGATGGAGCCAGGAGGTCACTTCTCAGATCATAACCACTCACGGTAGAGGGCAAGGCCTTTCCTCCGAGCCCAGCGCACCCAGGTACCCAGGTCCCTCCTGCTCCCAGGGCAAAGGCCTCCAGAAACTGGATATGACTTTCAGACAGAGGTGTGGGGATCATAACTGTGCATACAACTCCACCGTGGGTGGCCACGTGACCCTCCCCAGGAACTCTGCCAGGGTGAATGCCCAGTGTCAGTCTTGGAACCAGAGTTCCAGGGGGTCCCCCACTCCCTAAGCTAGGGTGTTGGTCTCACTGTGCCACACCATTTGCATAAATTAGACAGTTAATACTGGCTACCTGTGTCCTCTGGGAGTCTGGAGCATAGATCTGCCCCAAGAAGAGGGGCCCACAGGACAGGTCCCCAGTCAACCCCCAGGCCCCTATCCTGAAGGGTTTTCCTGACATAAAATAATTTGCATACATCAGGTTTCTTGCTAGGGAGTTAGGTACAACCTAGGGAAGGCATCAGACAACTTCCGTGTGCCCAATTTGGCTTCCCATTCTTCCTCTGCAATAACCTTGGCTGTGAGCTAGGTCTGACTATGCACTTGGAAGCTGAGGCAGGAGGACTGCAAGTTCGAGGCCAGCTGGAGGTACAGCTCAGAACCAGAGCACCTGTCGTGTGTGAGAGGCCCAGGTTCCCATCCCCACCCAGTAAAACAAAAAGGTCTGCACAAAATGCCTTCAGGGAGTCAGGGGTGTTCGTGCAGGATAGGAGCCTCGAGAATCCCCAAGTTAATGGTAAGGACACCAGCCTGACTGGATACATCTTACGGTGACCAGAGGCAGGGAGGAGGGCAGGGCTGTCATCCCAGAGAGGGCCTGTGTCCGAGGGTCACCTTCCTGGCCCTGGCTGGTGGCTACAAGTTAACACGGGACAAATTCCCCACACAGATTCCCCCGTGAGACACTGTGGCCCACACGGATGTCTCGAAATCTTTAGTGTCTTGACACTGTCAAGGCTATCTCTAGTGCGGGAGACGTCCCAGCTGATATTTCTTAATTAATTTACCACCATATATCTTTTTTTTATAGGCCCCAATATAAAAAGGAATGACATCACTGAACTATGGAATTGGGGTACGGTAAGACCTTTGATGGCTCGAAGTTCTAGAAGCTGCCACTGTGGAAGGAACTGGACTCCCTGGCTCTAGTTTGAGCCAGCTCTGTGCTGGGGGTAGGGGGAGAGGGGGAAGAGGGGGGAGAGGGAGAGAGGGGGGAGAGGGGAACAGCAGTAGCCTGCAGCAACCCATAGGAGCCAGCCCCAGACTCGAGCGGGGCGCATCTTACCGGATGGATGTCTAGGAACAAGGAATGCTCCTTTGGGTCGGGGTTCAGACCCAGGACGGCTTCGGACAGCACAGGATCCGCGTTGTAGAAATGAGGATGTGACAGAAACAGGGGCGCACCTGGAGGGGGAGGGGGAAGGGCAGTCAGAAGACAAGGGGTTCCACCTTGGCCTGGCTGCGTGCCAGGGGCGGGCGCAGGATAAGGACCGGAAAGAGACCCACAGTCGGCGGCGGCGGGGCATTAACAAGATGTGAACACATCGGTGACCAGGCAGGGAGCATCCTTCCCTCCTTGCATGAAGAAGCTGGGCACAAGGCACGGGGGTGGGGTGGGGGGGTGGAGCCAGGGTGGCTGATTCCAGTGGTCCGGGGGTGGGGGTGGGGGGTTGGAGGAGGGGACAGGGCAGCCGCCGCCAAGCAAGGAAAAGGTATTCCAGGTAGGAGTGTGGCAGAGGTGAGAGCATGGAGGCCCGGCCCCCCCCCACCCCCCCCACCCCCCCAACCCCCGGCGAGAGGAGCAAGAGGGAATCATGGGAGGTGAAGACGGAAGGAAAACCGAGGCCACACGAATGTGAGAGTGGACGCTGCTGCATCTGAATTTCAAGCCGGGCGCATGGGCTGCTTCTGCAGGCATGATAGCTCAGGGGTGCCCATGAGCAGGTCTCTGACAGCACAGGGGGAGAGGGGCAGCCCAGTCAAGAGAGTCCCCTCCCGGACCCCCGAGGCAGGACCTTGCCACCAACCAAGCCAAGGGGCGCAACACAGCTGTCTCAGGACAAGGGCCCAATGTGTAAGTTCCTAGCCTTCCTGTGAGGTCACAAGAGGCTCCAGGGCGGCAGAGCTACTGAAGTCGGATGCACTGCCTTTAGAAGTGGTGTTTCCTAAGCATTTACATTCCAAACACTCTAAAATTAAAAAAAGGAAAAGCTCAGGGCTGGAGAGGCTTCCCAGCACCTAGGAGTCAGAAGGCTTACAACTGTCTGTAACTCCAGCAGTGTGAGATCCGAAACCTCCGGCCTCTGCAGGGACCTGCTTTCATGTGTACAAATGAGCAGAAATAATAATAATAATAATAACAATAATAATAATAATAATAATAATAATAATAAAATCACATAACTAAAAATAAAATAAATCTTTAAAAACGAAAGGCAGCTGGGTGGTGGTGGCACACGCCTTTAATCCCAGCACTCAGGAGGCAGAGGCAGGTGGATCTCTGTGAGTTTGAGGCCAGCCTGGGCTACCAAGTGAGTT